GCCAATCCAGCTTGAAAACGGCTTCAAGAGATCCCGCAGAGGGTCCATTCGGGACCCTGCATTAGTACGAAGGCTGTCAAACCATGAATCTCTCTCTCTCTCTCTATATATGTATATATATATATACACGTATGTATACGTACGTAGACGTATGTATACGTATGCATATGTGTATATACGAATGTATGTACATATGTATGTATGTGTTTGTATGTCTGTACGCAGGCATGTATGTATGTACGTATGCATGTATGTATGTTTGCATGTACGTATACATGCATGTATCGATGTATGTATGTATGTATGTATGTATGCATACATGCATGCATGTATGTATGTATGCATGTATGTATGTATGTATATATGTATGTATGTATGTATGTATGTATGTATGTATGTATGTATGTAGTTATGTATGTATGTATGTATGCATGCATGCATGCATGCATGCATGTATGTATGTATGTATGCATGTGTGTACATATGTCTGTATGGATGCATGCATGCATGGATGTATGTATGTGTGTAAGTATGTATGTATGTATGTATGTATGTATGTATGTATGTATGTATGTATGTATGTATGTATGTATGTATGTATGTATGTATGTATGTGTGTATGTGTACGTATGTCTGTATGTATGCATGCATGCATTTATGTATGTATGTATGTATGCATGCATGCATGCATGCATGTATGTATGTATATATGCAGGTATGTATGTATGTATGTATGCATGCATGCATGCATGCATGCATGTACGTGCATGTGTGTATGTATGTATGTATGTATGTGTGCATGTATGTATGTATGTATGTATGTATGTATGTATGTATGTATGTATGGTTGTATGTGTGTATGTGTGTATGTATGTATGTAGGTATGCAGGTATGCAGGTATGTATGTATGTATGTATGTATGTATGTATGTATGTATGTATGTATGTATGTATGTATGTATGTATGTATGTGTGTGTGCTTATGTATGTATATATGTATGTATGCATGCATGCATGCATGCATGCATGTATGTATGTATGTATGTATGTGTGCATGTATGTATGTATGTATGTATGTATGTATGTATGTATGTATGTATGTATGTATGTATGTATGTATGTATGTATGTATGTATGTATGTATGTACGCACATACATCGGTATATGTATTGTATTCATATTTATATACAGAAATATTCAACAAATCGATAAATCGATCCCCCGCCCGGCCTGTGCCGGCCCACCCTGCAACCATTGGGAAAAGCCCGCTGATACCCCCCCCGTTTCGCTCCCCAGAGGCGGCCTGGAGAGGCCAATAGGGTGCCAAAACGAGCCAAGAGGGTTCCAAGAGGCCCCCAAGACGGTGCAAGGTTCCGAGCTGCCCAATGCGGCCCAGGAGAACTCCCAGAGCACTCCCACGAGGGACCCACGAGGCCCAAATCATCAAATTCCTGTGGGGAAGCATTGTTAGCATGTATGACTCTTCAGCTTTCGCGGCTTTCAAGACGGTCCAAGAGGCTCCCAAGACTTCCCCAAGACAGCCTAAGACGTTCCCAAGAGGCCCCCGAGCCAGCCCAAGAGGGCGCCAAGACGGTCCAAGGGCCGCCTACGACGGCCAAGTTGGCCCCAAGACGGCGCCCAAGACGGCCCAAGAAGGCCCCGCGTCGCCCAAAACGTACACGCACGAGGCCCGGGCACCTGGGGCCCGGGGCCCCGAGCGCGCATGGGGGGACTGGGGCCTCCGAGGCCGCTCTCAGAGCACCCAGGAGGGGCCGTGGAGCCCCCCGACTGCCCCAGAGAGCTCCACGACGCTCCCAGAAGCCCCTGGGGGACGTCGACAAGCCCCTCCAAGACAGCCGAGATAGCCCCAAGGTGGCCCAAGATGGGCTCCAGACCGCACAAACAAAGCCCACGAGGCCTCCAAAAGGCCTCCAGAGAGCTCCGAGAGGCGTCCCGAGAGAGCCCGAAGTGGCCCAAATCTTAGATTTCCATTATTTTTCAAATGTTTTTCGGTGTCTCGCGTTTTCGACCTTCGGACACTCCACGACGGCCGACGACGCCCCCATGACCGCCGAAGAGGCCCCCGACAGAGCCCCATGCCTTAGGGAGCCCGAATATTTCCTTGGGAGGAGCCCCAGACGGCCCAAGAGAGCTTCAGGACAGGCCCAAGCTGGGCCACATAGCGGGAGCGGGAGGCCCCAAGGCGCTCCAAGACGGCCCAGATGGCCCCAACGTGGCCCCAGATGGGCCCAACACGGCCAATACACAGCCCAAGAGGCCTCCGAGAGGCCCCAAGAGGTCTCCGAGAGGCGTCCCGAGAGAGCCCGAAGATGCCCATATCCTTGATTCCCGGTTGTTTTTAAACATGTGTTTCGCTTTCTCGCGTTCTCGAGCTTCCAACACTCCAAGACAAGATGGGCCCCAGAGCGGGAGCAGGAGGCCCCAAGGCGCTCCAGGACGGCCCAAATGATCCCGACGTGGCCCCAGAGGAGTTCAAGACGGCAGACACACAGCCCAAGAGGCCTCCAAGAGGGCCCAAGAGCTCCGAGAGACGTCCCGAGAGAGCCCAAAGAGGGCCAAATCATTGATTTGTATTGGTTTGTTTGATGTTTTTCGCTTTCTCGCGTTCTCGAGTTTCCAATGTTCGAAAGCGGACGAAGACGCCGCCAAGACCGCCACAAGACCGCCGAAGAGGCACCCAAAAGAGCCCCAAGACAGCCCCAGGGAGCCCGAAGATTGCCCGGAAGAAGCCCCAGACGGCCCAAGAGAGCTCCAGGACAGGCCAAATCTGGGCCACAGAGCGGTAGCGGGAGGCCCCAACGCGTTCCAATTCGGCTCAGATGGCCCGGGCCTCCCCCCTTCCGTCCCTCCTTCCCTCCCGCCCCCTCCCCTTGCCTCCATTCCCTCTCTCCTCTTCCTCCCCTCACACCTCAGCTTTCGTGCTCCTCCCTCCTCTCCTGGGACGGCCCCGCCAGAGCGCCAGACAGGCCCCGCCAGAGCGAGCGGGGCATCGCTATACCCTATCATTTAACAAGTTGCTTCGCCCCTCCCACCCGTCAAGGGCGGCCCCAGCAGAGCGAGAGGGGTGTTGCTATACCATATTCAGTCCCTGTTTTGTGCTCCTCCCACCGCACCCGAGGTAGCCCCGTCAGAGCGCACGGGATGCGGCTATACAGTAATTGTCCTTAGGTTTCGTGCTCCTCCCTTCCCTCCTGGGCAAGCCCCGCCACAGCGCCAGGGACCCGCTCGCCAGAGAGAGCAGGGCATCCCTACACCATACAATTTCACGCGGTTCTTGCTCCTCCCACCCTTACAGAGCGGACCCGCCCGAGCGGGCGGGGTGTGGCTAGATTATACAACGTCTCAGGTTTCGTGGCCCTCCCCTACCTCCTAAAAGGCTTCGCCTGATCGCCAAGAAGGTACCGCCAGAGGCCCCGTCAGAGCTCCAGGCAGCCCCATATATGGGACTTGCCAGGCAAATCATGTAGCATCCCCCGTAAGCCCGAACCTTCTGATCCCACGGGTGCGAAACAAATCATGAACTCTGGCGTCCAGCACAGAGAAGCTCACCCACTCCCGGGGACGGATTCGACAACAACTGATTGCAGAGAAAGGCGCTGATGACCGGGACATATGGCGCGCGCCCTCTGCAAATACCCGACAGCTGAAACGACCGCTGAAAACGAGATGCCTGCTGGAACACAAAATGAAGAGGAAACAACAACAATGCGCCCCCACGCGCGCGCAACGAGGCCCCAACATCAGGAACCGGCGGATGTCTTCGTGACCGGGCATGGGGAGACCTAACAAATGTGCAGAATAATTGAGTGCCACGACGAGGCAGAGCGGATGCGAAAGTGGAGGAAAAAACGCAGTTCGATAACCAAAAGAAAGTGGAGGAAAAAACGCAGTTCGATCGCATGGGCCCGAGAACGCTGGAAATCGTGATTTTGCGGCCACACCGGGGCTTACAGCGGCGCCCGTGGTTCATCTGCGACTAGAACCTAAGCGCGCGCGTAGCGCGGTCGTGGATCCAGTGTGTATATATATATATATACATACACACGCATATATTTATATATATATGTGTTTGCGTGTGTATGTATGTATGTATGTATGTATGTATGTATGTATGCATGCATGCATGCATGCATGCATGCATGCATGCATGCATGCATGTATGTATGTATGGATGTATGTATGTATGCATGTATGTATGTATGTATGTACGTATGTGTGTATGTATGTATGCATGTATGTTTGTATGTACGCATATGTATAAAGATACAGACATACGTTTCTACATCTGTATGTATACATACATCGTGGCGTTCGGCCCGCCCCACAACCCCGCCTTTGTTGTAGGCCAGAGGCCTCTTGAAAACGATGTTGGGGTATCTTGTGGCGTCTCGGGAGACTCGTGGCGGCCTCTATGAGCCTCTTTCAGGCCTCTTGGCGGCCTCTTGGGGCTTCTTGGGGTCTTCTTGGGGGCCTGCTGGCGATATCGGGAGCCATCTGGGGCGGAGGACTTAAAGTGTCATTTCGAGCTCCCCCTGTTGGGGCCCTGTTGGGGCCGTCTTTGGGGCCTCTTCGGCCGCGTTGGGCCCTTCTTGGGGCGTCCTGCTGGCTTCGTGGGGGCCTCTTGAGGGCTTATTGGGCCGTCCTCGGGCGATTCCTGGGGCCTATAGGGGCCGTCTTGGAGCGCCGGAAGCCCGAATCGGCGCGGCCGCTAAAATTTGGCATGGCTTGAGCCCTCTTGGGGATGTTTTTGGGTGACTCTTGGAGCGTCTTGGGGGCCTCTTGTGTCTCATTCAGGCCATTCTGGGCGTCTTGGAGCGATATTCTGGCGGCTTGGGGCCCTGTTGAATCATTTTGGGGCCTTCTGGGCTCGTCCAGGATCTGATGATGGGGAGCATGACGCGGGAGAAGGCGGTCAAGAGGATGGAGCATAGAAGTGTATGCGACTGGGGCATAGTATGCGCTCTGTTTTCCTCCCGGGAGGCCTCGGCGTACTTGCGAGATCAGCCGTCTCAGGCATGGGGCTTGCAGAAGCTGCGAATGGACCTGCAGATCAAGCTGCTGAACAAAGGCGGCCGCCCCGTTTGGAATCGTCGCGACACTGCCCGTAGGAAACGCCGAGGAGGGACGACGAGGGACGAGGATCAGGGAGGGTGGAAAGGGTGGAGGGAGAGGTGGGGAGGGTGGTGCACTGGGAGGAGGAGGAGGAGGAGGAGGAGGAGGAGGAGGAGGAGGAGGAGGAGGGGGAGGAGGAGGAGGAGGAGGAGGAGGAGGAGAGGAGGAGGAGAGGAGGGAGGAAGAGAGGAGGAGGAGGAGGAGGAGGAGGAGGAGGAGGAGGAGGAGGAGGAGGAGGGAGGAGGAGGAGGAGGAGGAGGAGGAGGAGGAGAGGGAGGCGGAAGAGAGAGGGAGGGAGGGAGGGAGGGAGGGAGGGAGGGAGGGAGGGAGGGAGGGAGGGAGGGAGAGGAGGAGGAGGAGGGAGGAGGAGGAGGAGGAGGAGAGGAGGAGGAGGAGGAGGAGGAGGAGGTGGTGAGGAAAGGGTGATTCGCTGCCATTTTGGCTCAAGATATTCTTCTTGAGTATGCAGCCCTCCCCAGTGAGCCATCCTCGTGTCCAAAGGATGCCGACATCCTTTCAACACCTCAGCACACTATATGTTCCGTCTCTGTTTCTCTCTCTCTCTCTCGCATCCCTCCAACCAGGCGTTGCCCTGGTCCAATGAGCACGCCAGGAAGCGTGAGTGCCGATGGCGGTGCGGCGGGTGGCGGCCGCCAAGATTTCGGTTCATCTCGATCGCCCACACGTGGTCATTATCGCGCTGATGCTGCTGAGCTTCGCCCTCACGTGGACGGCACCAAGAAGTCCATCATGCAGAACACCGGGATCATGCACGCGTCCTTCCTTGTATTGGGAAGCAGGTCGCGGACAACTTCGACAGCCTGGACATACGCATCCATGTGCGCTTCGAGGCCCTTGAAAACAGAGCGGACAATGCGGAGCACTCCATCGATGGCCCGCGCATGGAATTCCAGGCACTCGAGACGGAGCTGGCCACCGTCGGGAGCACTACAGTCCCCGAGGCTGCAGCGGCGGTGGCCAGCATGTATTCTGAGCGTGATATCGACCCGACGGTCCTCATCGAGCGCCGCCCACACGTCGTCATCGGCGAGAGTGCGCAGAGCGTCGTCGGGTCCTGGCTGCTGGGCGCCAGCTAGAAACCCGACAGTTTGGGACCATCCAGGGGGCGACCCCGCTGCCAAGTGGTGCGTCAACAAATGTCGTGGAGCTGCCAGTTGGGCTGCCCATAGAGTTGGACAGGCAGGAGGTCCTTCGTCAGGCAAGTGGTCAGTCTCGTCGTTTCATCATTTCCTCCTCCTCGACAGTGCTGGCAGAACTGTTCGTTTTCCTGGGCAAGAGCCGTGCCAGATCAAAAAGGATCTCGCCACCGAAACTTTTCGCCGTGTACTTGCAGAAGTGTACCCGCATGCCAGGTTCTTCGTTGACCGCCATGTTGGGGTCGTCCCAAGCCAATTGAAACCGCTCATCGAAACTACGCCGAAACACGACAACAGCCCGCCGACCCTCGAGTGGGAGACCGCCAGCATCCAGAGCCTTGGCTTCGACCGCGGCACCATCGAGGCGAGGAGCAACGCCGCCTTCGCAGGCTCCAAGCCTGCGTGTTTGGCACCAGTGAAATCTTACTACGTTTTTTTCGCGCTCTCGGAGGGAAGCCTCTCGACGCCAGGTGTTTAACGTGCTGTACCTGGACCGGTCGAGCCATCTTCCACCATGGTTCTCACTTTTTCCAAGCTCGCCTATCTTACTCGATCGACGAAACTGAACACGGCGATCGTTCTTCAGAATACCCATGACGGATAGATGACCTACTCCAGGTTCTTTCTCTCTCAGCGGGGTTTTCTATGGTGAGGCGAGCTTCGCTGACTCCAGAGGCCGCCGGGGCGATGCCGCCGTTTTCCTTCATCCCACCCGGGAGAACGAACGGCCCCCATCCCGAGGCCAACTGCGAGCCCGAGACCGTGCTCCCTGGGCGCGTCTTGCATTGCTTCTTTCAGCTGGGGCCGTCCTTGGTGACTCTGGTCCTCCTATCGTCCTCCCGCATTCCAACGTGCAAAACTTAGTACTACCCTGGCTTTGATTCGAAGAGCGACGCGGTTGATCAATAGAGAACCCTAGAAAGCCAGAGCGAATCTAGACGCGTACTTCATTGTCGTCGCTGGGGGCCTGAATCTCGCCGCGGGACCGCCTTTGCCATGCAGTCTTTCTCCTAAGTTTGTTATGTGCGCTGGTCTTTGGTCGTGCCCAATGGCGCCGGCAGCGTTCTTTGGGGTGGTCGTAGATTCTTGCGAAGATGGTGAGGATCGAGAGCCCGTTCCCGGTCCACTGCAATGGTCGGCTTCAACGTACATACATCGAAGTGATATCGGATTTGTACCAGAATCTTTGGGCACTCTTTGTCGCGCGTGCAGGCGGACGTTTCGTTCCTGGAGATGCCCGGAACCTTGCGGCAACAGGGAATCTCGGGTCACGCCGCTCTTGTAAACCAGTTCGGCACAGGGAACCACCGGAGTCTTGCGCCAGGCCCATCCCGAAGGAGCTTTTCCGCCACCCAGCAGAATTGGGACCCGCGTGATCTGTCAGGCCACGGCCCCCCGATGAAGCTTGAGTTCAACAAAGAGATGTTAATCTACTGCACGCGATGCCTTGTTCTCTGAGCCCCCCCCCTCGGGCCCGATTGCGAAGTCGATGTTTATGAGATCCAACATTCGCGCGGCGTCGAGGCGCGGTGCCCAGCTTGCCCAGCGCCGCCATCAGCGCCCCATTGCCCGCGAGATACTTAGTCATCAGCGCCCCATGGCTCGCGAGATATATACTGTTGACCCCTCGATGCGAAGGGCGAGCCAGATCGATCCCCAGAAGTCCTCACACACGCCTTGCGCCCAGCTGTTTCTGGGCGCCAAGAGAGAGCGGGGGCAGGCGTCGGGGCGGACGCAGTCCATGACCTCCGAGCCCGCCTGCTTCAAGCTCGGGAAGCTAGTGCGAAGGCTTGTCCGCGGGGGCCGCCTCTGGGCGCCTTTTGATCGCCGGTTCCAGGTCGTGGGGGCGCGGGTTGGCGGGGGCGCCCTGACTGCCCAGGAGCAGACGCCAAGTGCGATCGCCACTCGCTGGGGCTAGGCTTTCTCGCCGACGGCAGTGGATGGACGCGCGGGGGAGGTTTATTTTGGCCCATTTGCTTCGCAGCATGATCGTCGGGGCCTTCCTTCTCTTCCGCGCCCTGATCTGGATGGGCATGTCCCTCGACTCGCGGATGGCGCTCCAGGGCCTGGCGCATGCCCCCGACGCAGATCCCCGACGCGCGCCGTGCCTGACGCGGGTCTTCTGTTGATGCCCCTCTCCTGGCAGCTCTCGGGAATGCCCGCGCGGCTTGAGTGCAGTGCCCTGTGCAGTGCGCTTTTTATTGTATTTAGTCCTAAGGGCGGGGAGCTCGGGCACGCCGCCCGCGTTCGAGATGCCGCTGGATTCCGGCCCATTGTTCGAGGAGAACGCTGGCAATTAGAAGGCAACAGCAACATCGCGCCACAGTTTGCGGCCAGCGTCCAGAGTAGGCTCACCGGATCGCGAGATTTCGAAAGAACAAAGTCGATCAATCTTGTCATCTCTGGATTTCCTCGATGTCGCCGTCGGCTCTAGGAGACGTGCCTGACCTGGTCACCTTTGGTTTCGGCCAGGCCGTCCCCGGCCTCTGCCATGCCTGGCCCCGTAGAATTCTGGGTGCTATGCTCGCGCGCCAGAGCCCCCGCTGTGGACTGTGCTGGCCCCCCATGCGATTGCGCTGCGGTGCGGCGCTTTCGCGTCGTTTGTCTCGCGTCTTGAAGTACTTCAGCCTCCCGTCATGGCCCGCCGCTGAGATGCGCCCCCGGAGGCCCCCCGTCGCCAGGTGGCAGGGGCGCGGCTCGAGACTGGCCAGTCGGGGGCCCCCGACGGCGATCTCAGCTCTTTTGCGTTGAGGCCGCGTGGCCACCGCGCTGTCTAACGTTGCCCAGCGTCCACCACTTCCGCTTGAGGTCGCCCGTCAGGGGCCAGCGCTGGCTGCGAAGCTGTTTCGGATCTCGTGCTGCGCGCCCCCGCGGGCAGGCCGGCACGAGCTGCCCCGCTGGGGTGGCCCGAGGGTCGCCGAGCGCGCCGACCGCGCCCTCTGCTGCCCCCGTCCGCGACAGTCGCATTCAGTGAAATGTTGGGAACGACCTGTTACCTAAGCTTCAGGAGTTAGCCGAATAAGATTTGCCTCTGACGCGCCGTATCCGCGCTCGCGCACTCTCGCCCGAGTTTTGGCGCATGTGTCGGGTTTCTAGCTGCCGCTGCCGCGGGCGTCCATCTCTCGCGGGCGCGGGCGCTGGCCTGATCGCGCGCCCCTCGTGCCCGGCGCCCCCCTGCTGCCGCCGCCAGCGCTGCTGCCGCCCCCGTCGGCTTTCTGCTCCGCGACGCCCCCGTCGGCCGCAAGTTTGCAATCCAGAGAACCCCCATAGGCCAGCTCACCACGATTCTGCGCAGATCTCGCCGGTGCTTTTGCTTCTCGGTCAGCCTCCTCGAACCATGGGAGTGTCACGGAAATCCGCAGCCGCCCCTTGGGCGATATCCGCGGGGCCCTGCCCGTCGTGTTTCCGATGGTTGTGCTCGAGGTTATAACGGGACGATGGTCGACTGACGGGCGCTTTCAGGATGCATCGCCGAGCGCGTTTGGCTGCGTGGGCTGCGAGGGCGCGCTCTACTTACCAGAACTGCCTTCCCTTTCTCGACCATCTCGTTGAGCGTCGGCCGCCTCGGTCTTGCCGCCCCGTCCAAGGCCTCGCCGAGAGTGCCCGCTGGCGCCTCCAGCCTCCGAAATTGTGTGAGCGTCGAGCGCCGGGGGCCGATCCCGCTAGAGACGCGCGGGGGGGGGCGGCGCTGCCGTTTCGGCCCGTGCGATTCTGGCTCAAGCCACGGGGGCAGGCTCAGGCCCCGCGCTCCCTGACTGGACAGGACCGCCAAACAGTGCAATGAGCCCCCGTCGGAGCATCGCCCCCTCCACGCGCAAGTGGCGCGCAATCGGCGCAGAGGACGCTGTTCGAGCCTCTGGGCCTCGTGCCAGTTCCGACGGGCGCGGCAGTCCAGCCGACCGTCTTCGAGCCCTCCGCGCGTCTGGACACGGCCCCCGGCTTCGCTGGCGGCGCGCGCCCTCGTCGCAGGCCCGCCCAACGAGGTGCCGCGGGCAACTGCGCGCCTGAAGGTTGTGATGCCCGCCGTCGGCCTTCGCTTCTCGACGCTGCAAGTGGCCGCGGCCGCCGGGGTTTGGAGCGCGATCGACGCCGCCCCGTCCGCGGGCCTGGGGCGCGCGGTCCTCCCGGGCGGCAGCTGCGAGGTGCCAGCGTCCCCTATCGGAGAGGGGGGGGGCGCTGCAGAGCCTTCCGCGCGCGCCAGGCCGGGGGGCAGGAGGCGCCCCGTCGTTCCTGGCGGAGCTCGGAGACCCCCAGGTCGCGCGCTACCTGCTGAGGCAATGCGTCGACGCCGGATGGATGGCCCACTTGGCTCGCACCGCCCCAGCCGCGGCGCCGCGGGGCGCCGCCGCCCGCTGCGGCGAGAGGGCGGCGCGGCCGCCGCGTCGGTGGGCCAGCGTTGGACAGGCCGCCTTCGCCACCTCCGCGGTTTGGCGTGGGCCGAGGCGCATCTCGATGGAGATGGGCGCCGCGTGCGCGGCGTCGCGGGCGGCCGCCCCGCAACCTGCGCGAGCGCGTCCGGCCCGGGCACCGGCGGGGCGACGGCGCGCCGAGCAGGCCTCCGGCGGGCGCAGCCCCCTTGGGCCGCCGCGCCCTCGGGGCGGCGGCCCGGGCAGAGTTGGCCCGTGATTGTCCAGGAGGTCAGATGGATGCAGAGCAAAGGCTCTATGGGGCACGGCTGCAGCTGTCTTGACCCCAGGCAGGTGCACCCCCTCAGGATCTGCGCGTGCAGTAGCGCGCGTCGGTAGAACGTCGGAGTCTTCATCTCGCGCAGATGGACGTCTCCCGGGCTTTGCATGTGCATCGACCCACAACTTATCTATCATTCCAATGTTGTGAACCAGTGGGCGAAAGCAAACTGGGGCGTTTCCCGATCGTTGGAAGTAATGCAAGTTGATTTTGAGGAGGCGCGCGATCAGGTCGCGGCTTCGTGCAGGCCGCGGATCTCTGCCAACTTGCCAGCGCATGTGTTGCTGGCCACCTTGGCCGAGATGGGGCGGCTGCCTGTGCCTGCTCGCGCGGTGCGCAAAACTGACGGGGATAGTATCGACTTGTTAGCACTGGGGCCGCGTGCCACGCGCGACTTGGCGGCCGTCGACGCAGGGCGCAGAGCGGACATGACGGCGCTGAAGCACAACACTGGGATGCATAACATCTGGTGCAGGCCTCCTCCCTAGGGCGGGATTTGGAAGGCCATTGGCGGGGGCGAAATGAAATGTGGCACGACCGCCACCCATGTTGTTCGGAGCGTTTTTTCCTTCGGAGCCTGGACTCACTGTAGATTTCTCGAGCACCGAATTGCAGACAGCTGTGGGTGCTAGATCTGTCAAGGAGACCCAGGAACGATGTGCCGCTGGAGATTCGGGCGCCCCAGGGATTGTGGGGCCGTGTTCTACACGGAGTGTGTTTGGATTCAGGGGTGCGCTTGGGATCGGCAGGCCGTTGTTTTGGCCAGGAACCCGAGGGCCCACAGTTGGTCCAGAGGTTGGTGTTTGCTTGAGGATGGCTGCGCTGCCAACGAAACTCTGGCACGCGCCACCTTCAATGACATTGCTGAACTTCGCTCGTCGCACTTCGAACTGGCTGGCAACAGTCATGCTGGCAGGTTTGTCAAGGACGGCGCAGCATGTCACACTAGCATTGCGCAGGCGAAACTATTGTTTCAGGCGCTTGTTTAGGTGCAGAATGGTATTGTAAGATGGGGCGGTGTCCAGGGCGTACTGGTGAGTCAGAGGTCGTGGGTCGACGTCAGGGGCTCCCTGAAAAACGGAGGCCCCGGCGACCAGGAAACCCCAGCTCAGCACACACACAAACTTCGAGGAAACGCCTGCAAGCCAAGCTTGAAAGTAAATGGCACACCCAGCGTGTTAGTATGGGGTGCGACAAGTGTGACCAATGTTCCAGGATCCTATCTTTCTCGGCTCCCGCCAGACGGCAGGCTCGTCGAGGGCCGTGTCCGAATCCAGCGCGCTAGTGATGTTGCAGGGACAACCTGCTGATGTTCAGGGCGTGTGGCTGGGCGGGTTGTGGGGTGGGCGGGGGGTGGGGGGGTGATGTGCGAGGTGCGGGGGCTATGCTTGGGCGGGTGTTGGGTAGCTTTGCAGGCATTGCCCGAGCCACCCCCCCACCAAAGATTTCAAGAGACAGGATCTGTCCTTTCCAGGAGGAAGAGGACGAGGAAGAGGGGGGGCGGATCGAGGAGGAGGAGGAGGAGAAGGAGGAGGCAGGAGGAGGGAGGAGGAGGCAGGAGGTGGGAGGAAGTTGCTGATGATGATGATGATGATGATGATGATGATGATGATGATGATGATGATGATGATGATGATGATGATGATGATGATGATGCCGATGCTGATGCTGATGCTGATGATGATGATGATGATGATGAGGAGGAGGAGGAGGAGGATGAGGAGGAGGAGAAGTGGAAAGCAAGTCGTCGCTAATGTTTTCCCCGCGTCAAAAAAAAGGAGGACGGCGTTCCGGGCATTCGCGAGTGAGTGGTCCGTGGCAGGCCCCGTGCTGCGGCGTGCCCGTCGCCCCACTTCTCTGATGATATGGTGTGGTCTTGCCGCCCATGCACGAAGCCCTCCTCGATGGGGCGAGCCGTTTCCTCCGCTCTCGGCGTCGTACGGTCGGGATTTTTGGGATAGCGCATGGCTCCGCCCGTTCTGGCCCACAACGCTTCGCCGCGACACGCTATCCACTTTGCCATTCCCCAGGCGTCCATGTTCCGAGCCGTTCCCAGGTTCCCGCCCCGCGGAGCGGAGCGGCACGCTCTTCGCTCGCAGGGCATCTGTGTCGCGGGGGACTGCCGCCGCGACGCGGTAAGCAAACTTTCCCGTCCGTGGACGCCCCTGGCCTCTTTCTCTGTCCTGGTCCTCCTTCCCCTCCGTGGGGGGAGGGGGTGCCTTGCAGGGGCCCATCATCTACCCGTGCTCGCCCTGATTGTCGAGTCTGGCTATAGCAGAGACCGAAGTCTCAAAGTGCGAAATTCGGGTCAGATTCTCCTCCTCCTCCTGCTCCCTTCCCCTTGTGTGCCTCCTCTTCCTCGCCCTCCTCTTTCTCCCTCCCTGATTCATGTCCTCGGCATGGGGGTGTTGGTCGCCACGCGCAGTGGGTGCCAGTTGCATGTTCCCCCGCGCCGCACCCGTTGGTGGGCCTGTGCGAATTTGCAGGGGGCCCTTTGGTTGTCCCGAGGCAATTGGGAAGCATTCCGGATGCTCAAGGCGGCTAGTGGGAGGCCCCACGAAGTCCCCAGTCTGCGACCACTTGCGAACCCTACCTCTGCGGGTCCCATCGAAGCTTGGGTATCGGATGCCCCGCGGGGGTTCGTTTGGCTGCAGACATCTTCCAGATTCTGAACCCCAACGGGTTTCTCAGAAATCCGACACGCAGAAGTCATGTTCGCGTGTGACTGCCTACCCAGGAGGCCCACTGGAGCCTTTGGGTGGCTGTCGGACGGGCCTATAATCGAGATAAATATGTTCCAGCGCGTTCTGGAACACTCTGAAACGGCCGCTGCGCCCCAGACATCCTCCTAGCCCGCCGATTCTCAGAGATTTCTGCTTTATACACGTCCGATATCTCGATTCTGCCTTCGTTTTGTGATTATTCTTCCATTCCTGCCAACTTTTTGTTTCCCGGCCGCTTGCCTTTCTTGTTCCCTCGCTCTTGCCTTCCAGGGGCGCTCAAGTCAGTCGGTACCCCGCCGTCTTGATGCTGAGTAAGCACCCCTCTTGCTCCCTCTTCTTCCAGGCGCGCGCGAGTACCCTGCCGGCTTGATGCTGAACCAGAAGCCCTACCTCATTCTCAGCAAGAAGAATTTGCCAATCGTGGACAAGCTCTGGGCCGCCTGGGACGCTTGGCGAGACGACGATGAGAGAAGAACTCTGACGATGTCGAAGATGACGATGACGGTGGGGGATAAAGATGAGAGGGAAGTTGAGGAGGCAGAGGGGGAGCTGAGATGGACGGAGGTATACGTAGGAGGGCGGAGGATGGGCAGCGCTCGTGGACGCAATCGGGAGTTAGTGGAAAGGAACCAGATGAGGGGCGAGGATGCATCTCAATCTATTGTAGGAGCCGGTGCTCCCTGGGTGCGGCCCGGGCTTCCTGCGACACCCCAGCGAGACGAGGCCCCGTGCAAGAGCGGGGACCGGCTGGCCACCCCACCCCTACCTCCTCCTCCTCCTCCTCCTCCTCCTCCTTCTCCTCCTCCTCCTCCTCCTCCTCCTCCTCCTCCTCCTCCTCGCTATCCACTTTCCCATTCCCCAGACGTCAACGTCGACGTCCCGAGCCTTCCCCAGGCTCCCGCCCCGCGGAGCGAGGGCGACACGCCATCCGCTTGCAGGGCATAGTGTGTCGCTGGGGACGCCCTGAGCAACAGTTCATGCCCGTAGCCAGCTTGTGGACTCTCGGCCTCGTTTGGTTTCCCCGTGCTGGACGACACGACGTGTTTAGCCGAACGTCATGTGGTGTTGGGTCCTCGCTTGGAATCCGCAGCGCCCCGCGTCCTACGCCTCCTTCCCTCCTCCCTCTCCTCCCCTCTCCGCTTCTGCCCTCCGCACCTCCTTCCTCCCTCTCCTCCCCTCTCCTCCCCCAGCTGCTCCACCGAAGCCCCCAGGGGTAGTGCTACGTAGCGCCCCCCCAGCCCGTGAGCTCCAACAAAGCCTCGAGTGTGTTGTGCATAGCGTCCCCCAGCCCAATTCGGTACACCCCTCGTTCTTGTCGTGGCATAGGGAGCTCCACCGAAGCCTCCAGAGGGTGGTGCTACGTAGCGTCCCCCAGCCCGTGAGCTCCAACAAATCGCCGAGCGGGTGGTGCATAGCGTCTCCCAGCTCATTTCGGCACACCCCTCGCACGTTTCGTGGCATAGGGAGCTCCACCGAAGCTTCCAGAGGGTGGTGCCACGCGTCCCCCAGCCCGTGAGCTCCACCGGAGCCCCCAGCGGTGGGCGCATAGCGTCCCCGAGCCTGTGTCGGCACACCTCTCACATCCTTCGTGACCCCATACAGAGCTCCACTGACGCCATCAAGGGGTGGTGCCACATAGCGTCCCTCGGCCTATTTGGGCACACTCTTCACACGCTTCGTGGCCCCATACGTAGCTCCACAGAAGCCTTCGGGTGGCGGATCCACAGGGCGTCTCCAAGCTCATTTTGGCTCCCCCTCTCACACGCTTCGCGGTCTCATAGGGCGCTCCACCCAAGCCCCCAGGGGTTGGCGCTACAGAGCGTCCCCCGGCTCACTTCGGCATACCCTCACGCGCTGCGTGGCTCATAAGGAGCTCCACCGACGCCCCCGGCGGGTGGTCCCACAGCGCCCCCACAGCTTATTTCGGCACACCCATCACACGTGTCGTGGCCCCACAGGGAGCTCCGCCGAAGATCCCCAGAGTGTGGTCCACGTGTGGTGTTGCATGCGGCTCCCCACCCATTTCGGCACACCCCTCACACGCCTGGTGGTCCTACCCAAGACCCCATACGCGTGCTACTATGCTATTGCATGCGGCTCCACACCCATTCTGGCACACCCCTAACACGCTTCGAGGTCCTACCCAAGGCCCCATACGCGTACTATTGCATGCGGCTCCCCACCCATTTCGGCACACCCCTCGCACGTTTCGTGGCCCCACATGGGAGCTCCACGGAAAGTCCCACTAGCGTGGCGTGGTATTGTATGCGGTATCCCGCGCTCGTTTCGGCACAGTTTTTTAACGCGCCTCGTGGACCCAGAGAGCTCCACCGAATGCCCCAGTGGCTGCGTCCGCATGCGACCCCACACCTATTTCGGCACATCCTTCACGCGCTTCGTGGCTCCATAGAGAGCTCCACTGAAAGCGGTACTTCCAACGCGGTGCTCACAATGATTGCATCCGGTTGGGTCACTCGAACGGATGATTCTCGTCAGGAGCGGAGGGCCGACTTTGGTTGCGTTCATATCCCGCCTCTCAGCGTATGGCCCAGGTCGAGAATATTTGCTACTTCTACGACCTGATCACGCAGAGGGTCGATTTCGAGTCCGACGACGAGGGTGACTCCGAAGAGGAAAACTCCGCAGATGAGTCGTACGAAGAAGAGGACGCTCTCCCCTTCTTTTGCTCTCCTATCATCTGTCCTCTTCACGCTGGCCAGACGGCAAGAGGCACGGCGGAATCGGAAGAGCCCCCTCGAGCAGCGAGCCGTCGCTCAAAGGGGAACGACAGGGAGGGAATGGGAGCCACCGCGCGGGCATGGGAACACCACTGCGTCACTGGTGCGGTCCTCGCTGATGCTGCGGCTGCAGACGTGGGCCAGCTGTCGGCTCCGTGGCCAGTGGGCCAGGCGCCCTGGCCGTCGAGACAGTGGCGACCCTCACGAGGACGGTGCTCCTCCCGGCGGGCTGGAAGGCTCTGCCGGCTCCGTGGGCCAGGGGGCGAGGAGGAAGGCGCGTCCTCGCCTTGTTCGCGCCTCGTTCCCGCGGGGTCGCTCGCGTTTTGGAGCCGTCGTGGGGTCTGAGGTGGCGGAGCACTGCACCCCGCCAGCAGGAAGGGGGGAACAGGTTCGAGGTCTTGAGTTCGGCAAGGTTTTTTTCTGCTTTTTCTGCTTCCAGGGGCCGTTGTCGGGCCCCAGGACCGTGAGAGACGGATCTGGGGGTACAGAAACTCAGATCCTATGTTCCTTGTTTCGTGGCCCTGCTCATCTCATGTTCCTCCGAGTCGCCCATGCCGCCTCGTGCAAAGTTTCTGCTCCAAAGGTGTGGCCTCATTTTTCGGCGAGCCTGGCGCCGCCGTTCCGAGCCTCTCCGGGCGGCGGGCCTCCGCCATGCTCGAGTGATGGCGGCGGGGAGGCCCCCCTGGCGGCGGCGCCATGGGCCCGCGGACGCCCTGCGGGGCACGGAAGCGGCGCCGTGCCCGGAGCGGGCGGCTTCGCGGCGCTGCCGGCCGGGGCCGCTGCGGTGCTGCCGGGGCCTGGAGGCCGCGCGCGCGCCCGGACCGGAGGGCGGGGGGAAAGCCAAGGCGAAGCCCGCCCGTGGCGAAGCCCGCCCGTGGCGAAGCCCGCCCGTGGCGAAGGCGGGCGCGGGGGCCCCAGCCGCGCCTCTCGCGGTGGCGGGCGTGGGCGCGGGTCCGCCGCCCGCCGTGGCCGCGGCCGCGGCAGAGCCTGGTGGTGGGAGCAGGCGCGGGCCCCCCGAGCGATGGCAGCTCCACGGGCGGTGGCTCCCCATGAGGCCGCCTGGCGCTGGCGCTCACCCCCGCCGTCCGCTGTGGCCCGCGGCGTTCGCAGCCGCTGTGGCAGCACGGGGGCCACGGCGGCAGACGCTTTCGCAGCCGCAGCCGCTATCAAGCTCCCTTGGCTCAAGCATCTCAAGCATCTTAGCCGAGTCATCTCACTCTTACACTGCACCATTCAACACGGCTTCTCCTTTCTCTCCTCTCGCTCGTGGCACGCGTGCGGCAGGAACCCCAGCCGGTGGTCTACTGAAGAACGATGTCGCGTGTAGGACATGGCCCGAATTCCCCCATCAACGACATGGGCGATGGGCCAAAGCCATGTGCCATCGTAAAGTCCGGGGACGGCAACGCTTCGTTCCTCGACCGTCTCGACGCTGCTGCCGACGATGGTCATGGAGCTGCCGAGCCAGAAGAGGTCCTTCAAGAGGCGGTGACAATGCGGGGCATCGCTGCCTTGCTCAAGAATCCGCTCCGCCCCGCGACGTCCGTAGTAGCACAGCTGCGTGAGGACTTCGTCGACTTCGAAGCGAAGGTCACCGCGATGGGCGACACATTCCGACAGGATGGAGGGCGTTGGCGCCGAGATGGCAAATAACGACTTTCGCATCGAAAAGCTGGAGCACGTGTGCGAGGTGATCGACAAGTGGCCTGGCTACAGCATGGACGAGATCGAGGACAACCAGTAACTTGAACGGCTTGGGGGATCTCAGCTCCGCCATCGATTGGCTCCAGAGGGAGCTTGATCTCTCTCTCTCTCTCTCTCTCTCTCTCTCTCTTTTGGTACCGCCCAGCAAAGGTGTACGCGAATGGCGACTTCAGAGGCACCTTGTTCGCGGAGTTCGCTTCCACTGCTGCTCGTGATCGGGCGGTCACTGCACTTCGTAGAGCTGCCCTGCCGGTAGGAGACAAGAAGGCGTGGGCCATCCAGGACAGGTCCCCGCCCGATCGTGCCGCTCGTAACTTTTCGAATGGTTTGGAACGCATGTTTAAGAACGGTTGAACTGTTCCTTACGTTGTTCAGCTTTCAGCCGGGGTTCCCTGCAGTATGACGGTCGGTGAGGAGGATGCCGTTACTGTGCACATCGAAGACAACAGCAGCAGGCATGAGGGGCACGGGGAATAGAGGACGTGGGACGAGCTGCGCGACAGCCCGAAGGTGAACCAGAAGAGCGCTGACATGTTGTCGCGTGCGTTGCAGGGCACGAAGGCGGCGGGTGCCTCGCAAAGGAGTGCGCTAAGAGACGCTAGGCTGCATCGCACATGAGTACGGTTCCACCCAATTTGTCGCCAAAGCTCGCGGGAACAGTCGGCAATGCTGCGCGCCCACGTTTTGATCATCATGCGAACTGCTGATCAAAAGCGCATGTTTTTCGAAGTGGGAAGCTCGCGGCGGCATGCCGAGCCTCCAGCTTGGCACTTGGAAGTTTGTGGAACTGCACAACCACGTGTTTGAATTGGACATCGGCGCGTTGCGCTTACAGGAGACACACAGACCTAAGTCGAACTATTTGGTCGCAGATGAAGGGTACCTGCTGGTGCTCTCAGGTTCCTTGGAGGATAGCGAGAATGCTGGCGTTGGACTCTTGGCTTCGCCGTGGGCTCGACGAATCGTCGTCGGCTTCCGCCAGGCTGCGTCGAGAATCGCATTTCTCAAAGTCCGGGTCAAAGGTGGCAGGATCGTAATTTGCAGCGCATGCGTTCCCCGCAGCGGGAAACCGCCAGGAGACAGATGGTATTACTTTCAAGGGCTGACGCATGTCATCGGGTCGCTCTCTTGCCGCAGTCTGGCGCGCTTGCGCGGCGATCCCAGCGCCTGTCTGCGCGCCCAGAGGCCCGATATGTTTTTGGCAACCCGGGTGCGCAGCACAACCCGGAGTCGAACCATTCGCTGCTCGCAGAGTTACGATGCATAAGGGAGCTCGCAACCGCCAACGCGTTCTTTGATGCGGCAGCAGGGCGGTGAACCACTCGCCGCAACATTGCTTCGTCTCCAGCGTGCCCTATAATACGCAACCGCTTCGGCCAGATAGACTTCGTTGCCGTTTCTGCGTCGCGGCTAGGCTCGGCGCGCACGGCGTTGAACGACAGGCCCCAACCCTTTGCTTCTCACCATTCTCTGGTCAGGGCGTTTGTCGCGACGGGGGCCCCGAATGCGAAGGCCCGCGAGGGCCGCAGTAGGAAAGATGTCGCTGTCCTTCGGGGGCCGGACGTGAAGCGCACCTTCGCGGGCGCGCGCCGCGCTCGCACGGGGCCCGTCGGCGGGCGCCCCGAGAGCGCCCAAGAGCTGAGCGAGAAGATGGTCGAAGCTTTGCGCGCAGCAGCTGGCGAGCCTCTCCCGGAGGCTCCGCGGCGCCCAGCGAGGCCGCGCATGTCGGGGGGCGCGCTGGATTTCGCGCGCCGGCGCAACCTGGCGCGTTCGAGATGACGCGAGGGGCGAAAAGATCTGCGCAGATCGCTGCGAGCATCCGCGAAGGCGGATCGGTCGAAGTGGCTAGTTGAACAGCTCGCGACTGGGATTTGGTCGCAGGCGCGGATGCTCCGCGAAGGCGTCGCCCCGAAGCAGGGCCGTCTCCGGACCGCGGCCGGTGAGCTCGTGGACTGCGACTCTTCGAGCGGGCGCGATGGCGGGATGGCTCAGCCAAGCCCAGTAGGCTGCGCGGCCGATTGACGCAACTGGGACCGACGACGCCCTCGGCGACGAGCTCCCAGCGTCGCGCGCGCCCGCGTCGGAGGAAGAGGTCGCCCAGGCTGCTTCCAAACTGCAGCTGGGCAGGGCTGCTGGCGAGGACGAGGTCCGGGGTGAGTTCTGGAGATTCATTTGTAGACCTGCGTCCGAAGTTTGCCATTTGGTGATTGCGCTCTGCAGCTTGCAGCAGGTGTTGATCTGGCCGTGTCGTTCCAGGTGGGTGGCGCGAGGCGGCCGTGGGCGCCGCGTTCAAAACAGGGGTCGCTTCGCATTGCGAGAAGTACAAGTTCGATGTCATTGGATATTGCGGGGTACAAGTTGTTCGCTGCAGTCAGTTCTTCTCGACGCATTCAAAGACAGACGCGCGGAACAGAGGGCATGGTACCCAGGTCGGTTTCAAGAGCAATCGCGGCGCAGCGGATGCGTGGACGCCCGGCGCGCGCAGCACCAGTTTGGTCTGGCGCCTGATGGAGAGGGCGCGGGCAGAGACAGACGGGGAACTGGTGCTCTTTGCCCATGACTGGGCCCGAGCATTCGATGGCGTTTCGCCGGGTGCACCGTGCCGGGCCCTGCAGGGATTCGGCGCCCCGTCGGAGTTCGTCAATGTTGCGCGAGCGACCTGCGCGGGCCGGACATTCGAGGTTTGGGACGCGGGGTCGGCGTCCAACGCGTGCCCCCGGGATTTCGGGATCACTCAGGGATGCCCTCCATCGCCTTTTCTGATTGCCAGCGGTTCTGCTCCACGACCCGAAGCGGGTGGCGATGCCCGCGGCAGGTGCGCGAGCTGGCGCGCGCAGACGACGCGCTGCTCGCGGCCGCCTCGGGCGAAGAGGCCGCCGCGACTATGCGCTGCGCGCAGCGAGCGCAGCGCGCGCGCCCCGAGGCCAGGCGGGGATGTAATTCCAAGGAAGGGCAGCGTAATGCAACTCGGGGCCTGGATGGCCAGCCGCGGGAAGATCGGCGCGAAGCTGCTCCGCCGATTGGGCGCTGCTAGGGCCGAGTTGCGGCTCTGGCATGGGCGCGGTTTCATTTTGCATGTGATTGCGCGTCCTTGATGCCTGCGCGTCAAGCAAGCTGCTGCGCTGCCTTCGCGCGTCTTCTCCGAACAATCAAGAGCTTCGCAGAGCGGGCGCCTTCCAAGCCGGACGCCTCCAAAGTTCAACGCGTCCCACATTCGAACGTAA